CCGGCTGTTAGGTGTAGGAGGTGGGGGGAGTGTGTTGGAAGCCATCAGAGAGGCTGGGCCAGCAGCTTTGCTTCACCTCACAAGCGTTTGGCCATTCCTGATTTCCTCAACTGTCATTAGCTCTGTGCAGTCCCCTGTAACTGGGTTTTTTTTTAACCTCAGAACACTGAGCTCTGCACCTGACCAATCAGAGTGGGGGGTGCAGGAGACAGTAGCCTGGGAGCCACATAGGAATCAATGGGGGGAGCACATTTTACCTTTTGACCCCATTAGGGGTCGAATTTCTAAACATATCTTAGTGAGCATCTATGTCATGGTAGGAGCGCTCTCCCCGAATTTGGTGTTTCTAGGTCCAGCGGTTTGGCCTGGGCATTGACTTTATGGTGAGGGGACTTACTTTTATATATATATAGATGAACGTGTTAAGAATTCTCTCTCCCAGAACTACAGCTCCCAGGGTTCCTTGGGAAGGGGGTCTGCTTGAAAGTCTTAAAGATATAAGAGCTTGGGCTTGCCTTGGAAAGTGGGAAGGAGGCAGAAAAGGAGATTGTCGCTATAAACTATCAAGGGTTTTTTTTTTTTTTTGAGTTTCTGGTGATAGGATTCTGTTCTTATGTGTTTTCAGCTTCGGCCGTGGAGAACACACCAACCAGCTGTATCCAGACCCTGTTCCCCTCTCAGAAAGCGTTTTGCTTCTGCTCCCCACATGCGGATGGAAAGGACGGGGAGGTTGTCTCTTCAGACTTTCCGCGTCCCATGTTCCAGGCTCAGCTTTGGTCGTTTAAAGATTACATCCTGAATCAGAGGCCCAAGAACTCACCCGGAAGTAAATTTGCCAATGGGAAGGGTGAGGATACTTTTCATACCAGATATTTTTTTGGATATCTCCCCTGTTGTTTAGGACTGGCTCAAGCCACTTTACTGCCCTGGTTGAAGAGTGATTTTTACTGCCCTGGGAGGGACTGTGGCTCAGTGGAAGAGCCTCTTCCTTGAATGCAGGAGGTCCCAGGTTCGATCCCTGGCATCTCCACTTAAAAAGGATCAAGCAGTAGTTAATGTGAAAGACCTCCTACAGAGACCCTGGAGAGCCACTGCCAGTCTGCGTAGGTAGTACTGACCTCGGGGGACTGATGGTCTGATTCAGTATAAGGCCGCTTCATGTGTGTTCATGCTGATATTATATTCTCCCTTCAGAGGTTTTCCCAAAGGTGCATACGCTGGTGGAACGAACTCCCGGCGGAAGACCTCAGGGCCCTGCGGGACCTTTTACAGTTCTGCGGGGCCTGTAGAATGGAGCTGCGGTGGCTCAAGTGGTTAAGACGCTGAACTGCAGGCTGTGGAAGGTCAGCAGTTCGAGACCCGGGTTGCCGCATGACGGAGTGAGCTCCCGTCTCTAGTTCTAGCTCCTGCCAACCTAGCAGTTCGAAAGCAAGAAATTGCAAGTAGATAAACAGGTTCCACTTTGGTGGGAAGGTAACAGTGTTCCGTGCACCTTGGTGTTTAGTCATGGCGGCCACATGACCACGGAAACGTCTTCGGACAGCGCTGGCTCTGCGGCTTTGAAACGGAGATGAGCACCGCAACCCTAGAGTCGGACTCGACTGGCTTTCGAGCAAGGGAACCTTTACCTTTAGGGCCTGTAAGACGGCGCTCTTCCACCAGGCCTTTAGTTAAGGAGCTGCACCCAACACACTAAGGCCCTGTGCCCAGTACCACCACCGACAGCCTGAGCTTCACCGACTTTAAAATTAGTTGCCATCTGCATTGACTAGTATGTTGATGCTGCCCTGCTTTTGCCATCGCCACTTCAATTGTTCCCTAGCACCTTATGTTGTGTTTTTCAGCTTTTATTTATATTGTTGTTTTAGCTACTGCATTTTATGTAAGCCGCCCTAAACCTCCAGTGGGGAGGGCGGGATATAAATCAAATAAATAAAAATGAAATCTTTATCCTGCTTCTGTGCAACAGCCACTTGATATTCAGGCATTTGTGGGCAATACGGCTTATTTCCATGCCATGCGAAGTATCACCTGTTGATTCCTTCAGCTCAAGCTGCTGTTAAAAGCAGAATTAGCAGACCGGACTCTGTTTTTCCTGATCATTTGGCAACCTGGCATTGGAGCAGGAGGTTAAAATCAGAATGTTAAATGTATTTATTTATTTATTTCGATTTCTCTCTCGTTCTCCCCCGCAAGCAGGCTCAGGGCAGGTTACAACGTCATACAAGGGAAAAGGGTACTTAACGCGGCGTATGATGGTGATGTCTTGTGTTTTCCAGAGTGGTCTGCCATGCTGGAACGATTTGTAGATGTGTTGTCTTTGGACGAACCCATCTTTTTGAACGAGAGCTGTGGTGGCCAAGAAGCAGCATTCTCTTGGGTAAGACTGGGAGGAGTTTGGGTCTGGGTGTGGCCGTGCCAGAAATATTTACTGGGTCAAGGGGTCCAATATTGAATACATGAATCTGCCTTCTAGCCTACTCTGACTGGCAGCGGCTCTCCAGGGTCTCAGGCTGTAAGCGACAGAAAGGTGGTGGGGAGGAGAGAAATGTCACGCCTTGTGGTCTTTTAAGTGCCACCAAACTCCTGACTACTCTTCCTTGTACGATTGGTCTGTGACAGCAGGAGGAGACGGGACGGTGGGGGGAAGAACAGCCGTGAAATTGAGGAAGGTAGAATCAGTCGGATCTTCCAGTTTCAGCCTTTTCCGAAAGAATGTTAAAGGCTGTTTCTAGTCCCCCAAAGAGCCCAGCTGCGTGGCCCTGCCCTCCAGGAATAAGGCTGCCCCGGTTGAACCAAGGCTCTCTGACCCCACTGGTGGGCCCGGGACTACCTCTGGAGTTCCGTGCTGCCCAGGAGGGGGCGCTTTGGTGGCTGGGGTAGTTCTCTGTGCTGTTTTGACCTGTTTTTATGGCCTTGCCTGGGATGCTTTGCAAAGAATGACCATGGGAAATGTGCATCCTGGAGACAGGCACTCAGCATTCAGCCATTTTCTAAAACTTGACTTGCGCATCCTGTCTTGCACTAACAATAGTGGCACATACACACTTGCAGCACACTGTAGATGTTTGGGTATTTGTCATAGCCCAGCTGGTCTCATAGGCACCAAGTCCAGGTCACGCAGGCAGGAGCAGGTCAAAGGAGTGTTCACAGCTTAGTCCAAACGGTTCAAGGTCAGTTGTTACGGTCAGAGAGAGTCCAAAAGCAGAGTCAAGCTGGCCCAAGAGTCACAGGAGTAGAGCAGAGTTAGGAATTGTGGTCGCCAGGATTCACGGTGAGGTGACGTGTTGCTTCCACAAGTTGGCCACAGCTCACACCCAGCTTTATGTAGCTTTTCCCTAATTAGTCTTATCTGCAGCTGGCAAGTTAGCAGGGCTCCTGTAATGTCTTGTCTTGTAGCTGTCGATGGGCCATTAATCATTTACTCTGTCTGCATTCTTGCAATTGCCTTCTGATCTTAGCCCTTCTTCTTTCTACGATCAGAGGGGAATCTGGGGGAGTTGTGAGTGCCTCCGGAGGTCCTTGCTACTTGACTTCACCCGGCTCCGGAGGTACTTCTCCCTGACTAATTCCTGAGCGTCCTCTACTCTGAAGTCATCTTTTGCCACGCTGGACTCAGGCTCGACTTCTGAGGAGTCCTCACTTTCACTGGGCTCCAGTTGCCAATCAGACTGGTCAGGCTGCAAGTCAGACTGTTCCTCACCCAGGCTGGGCCTCAGGCCACAAGTCAGAGTCTGGCTGCACCTCAGGCTGAGGCTGGTCCACGACAGTATTGTGCGTATCCCTCACACCCTCAAAGGTCCATATAACACTCTGCACTGTCCCTGCTTTGTGCCCCTCTAGTATCCCTATAACCAGAAAAGATTTCTTAAGTTACACAGACATCCCTTTACGCCAGTCTTCTAATAAACGTGCCACCAGATTATACAGTGTTATAATACAGCCCATTCTGATTTTATTGAGAGCCTAGCGTTCATGCATTGAACAGAGGCACAATCCTGTGGTGCTGAATCCCAGACAAGCTCCCCCAAAGGTAACCCTTTTAGTAGTCACAGAAATATAGAGGCCCCATTCAAAGCCTGAACACACTTAAAACAAATAACATTTATTGAACAGTGAGGGAGACACTAGATTCAGACTGGGAGCTTTAACAAACAGTACGAATAAAAATTATAATGAATTGTGTCCAGTTTAGGGCAAAAAGAGAAGAAAGTCTCTAACCACTTTTCCTCACAGTCACCAAGAAGCCATACTCTCTGAGGATTGAAGGCTCACTCACTCCAGAAGACAGTCACTCCTCTACCAACTGTCTTTCCCTGTTTCCACAGTCATTTCTCCTCAGGAGCTTCTTTTTTAAAAAGAAATTCTCCACATCCTCCGGAGGCAAACACCTCAGCTTCTTCTCTCCCTCTTTCTCCCCCCACTTTCCCGTGTTCTCTGTAGGAAGTGCCTCCATCTAGAGTGCAGTATTTCCAGGTTAGGGCCCACTATGCGGGCGAAAACATATTTTTACAAGGCTCACATGTATAACAACAGTCTCAGTTAGAAATACCGGGAAATGCCCTTCAGAGAAGATAGGATTGGAAAGCCAACCCGTTTTTTTTTCTTCTTCCAACAGAAACATTACGAGAGTTTTAATGGCCCTGTGATAGATCCTCCCTGGGAAGCTCCAGAGAGGAAAGAGATGCCCAGAATTCCCCAGCTGCCAGCACAAGAGCCTAGGGTAAGTGATATCCGTATCAAAGGCTCAATCCAGAAGATGGCTATTCCTCTGGAAACTGCCTTCCTTTGTCTCCACAGACTTTTCTCCTCAGGAGCTGCTGCTTTAGAAATTCTCCACACCCTCAGGAGAAAAACACCTCCGGTCCTTCTGCCCCCTCCTTCTCCTTCTTGGAATTCACCCCCTTCTTCCCAGGGTCTCTGTAGAAAGCGCCTCCATCTAGAGGGCAGTGTTTCCAGGCTAAGGCCTAGTATGCAGGCGAAAACATAAAATGCACTTTTTAATAATAAATATTTTTATAAGGCTTACATGTATAACAACAGAGCCTTCATTAGAAGTAAACAGGAAATGCCCCTTTGGGGAGATAGGATCAGGAAGCCAAAACATTCCTCTTGTTGTATAGAGTAGCAGACTCCCAAACTTGTGGCATTTTAAACCTGACTCCATTCAGTGGGATTTATAGTTCAAAAGTCGTTTTTATATATGGGAACAGATCTGATACTAAATTATTATGTTATTATGTTATAACTGTTGATGTATGTTGAAAACTTTGTTGGTGATTAACTGGCTGGTTTGTAATTTTGGATTCTCAGGACTTTTGTATACTGTTTTGCAGTTATTGTACATGTTATAAGTTATACTTGACCTTAATAAACATTTTTAAAACCCAAAAAAAAGGAAGCCAAAACATTTTTCCCCCTTTTAACAGGAATATTGCGACAATTTTAATGGGCCCATGATTGAGCCTGTGATAGATCCTCCCTGGACAACCCCAAAGAGGAAAAAGACTCCCAGCGTCCCCCAGCCATCAGTGCAAGTACCCAGGGTAAGTGATGTCTGCCCTGCAACGATTTGCAAGTGAAAAGCCCTCTCCTGTTATGAATTGGATGGATATTAGGCAACGATTTTCGTCTGTGGGAGAGAAGGGTTTAATGAAGCCACTGCCCTCTAGGATCACTGCATTTATTTTTCTCTTCTTGCTCCAGACTGTCCTCAAGCAATTTAGTAGGTGATCCTTTGCCCATGATCTTTGTGCCAAGAAAAATAAACCTCATCTGCTTAATGTAAGACTTCCTAGTCTCACTTAGTGGTATGCAGGGGGGAAAATTCAGCTTTTTTCGGATTCGGATATACTGAAGCCGAATTTTTTTTGGTAGTCTCGAATATACCCAAATACCAGTACCGGTAATAACCTCATCTGCTTAATGTAAGACTTCCTAGAGAAGACTTCCTAGAATACTGAAAAAATTCAGCTCCATTATATCCCATGGTGCCATTGTAGTCAATGGCAAAATTTTCTAAGGGGTATTCAATGGGCTGGGTGTGTGTGTGTGAGGTACAGGCATAAAATTTCTACTGCAGCTGCTAGAGCCTCTCCCCAAAAGAACCCCCAAATTTGGAACAGTGTGGACCAGGGAGTCCAATTCTAGGGGCATCCAGGCCTATAAAGCAACAGAACAAAGTTTGAGTCCAGTGGCACCTTTAAAACCAACAAAGTCTTGTTCTGGGCACAAGCTTTCATGTGCATGCACATTTGGTACCCGAAGAAGTGTGCGTGCACACAAAAGCTTATACCCTACCCAGAGTAAAACTTTGTTGTCCTTAAAGGTACCCCTGAGAACCTGTAAATGGAGATGCCAGGAACCGAACCTGGTCTTGTGAATTGAAGGCATGTACTGTACAACTGAGGAGCTGCCATGGCTCAAGTGGTTAAGACGCTGAACTGCAGGCTGTGGAAGGTCAGTAGTTCAGCAGTTCAAGACCCGGGTGCTGCAAGACGGGGTGAGCTTCTGTCTCTAGTTCCAGCTCCTGCCAACCTAGCCGTTCGAAAGCAAGAAATTGCAAGTAGATCAATAGGTACCACTTCAGTGGGAAGGTAACAGCGTTCCGTGCACCTTGGTGTTTAGACATG